TTAATTTAACTATGTGCTAAAAGGTACGTCAGTTGGGGAACCATGCTGCCGTGGAGCGAAGAAGGATAGCCGACACCGGACACTCCAGGGATCCTGATATTAGTTACCTCGGCTCATCAGGATCATGGTAGGGTGGGCGTGGCACAACTCAGTGCCAGCAGAGTTGTCCGAAGCGTAGGTAGAACCCTCTCCCTTCTTTTTCTATCCTATATTTCTCTTTTATATAATAGCCCGTGTACCGGCTCCCTACCATTCCTTCCCCTGCCTTTCCTCCGTCCTCCCTATACCGTAAACGCAGTACGCGAAGTTAACAGAATAGTAAACTGCAGGAACGAAGCACACAATTGGAAGGTTCCTCCACAAGAACCCATACCCATAGCCGACCAGAGACGAGCCGTAGGAGCAAGCGCGTGCTCCTTCCAACGTTGTCGACCACCCGCTTCATTGCCCGAAGATTCTCTTCGTTAATCGTTACAGAATTATTATTTTATTTGGCGCCCAACGTGGGGCCCGACAGGCCCGAAGGCAGAGTTAGCGTCAATGTAAGCTGGTTAGCAATACAAAACGGAATAACCTAATATGTTGTTAGGTTGTCCTAGCCAAACTCTACCTCGAATGTTACGTAGTCTATAACACCTACAAGCCATGCATGTTCATGCACAAGCTTACGACTTTTGTCCCTACTTCCACTTCCTCCTCCAATCCCTTTCCTGTGTCCTGGTGTTAGATGCTTTGATGATGGATGCTTATTAGTGTGAAGGAGCAGACGCTCCCCCACATTATTTTTTCACCATGAAGGATCTCTTATTATTAGTTATTATTATACCCGTACTCAAAAAAGAGTTAAGGGGTATATTAGATTTGTGGTAAAAGTGGATGTGTGTAACGCAGAGAAGGAAACTTTTCCGACCCCATAAAGTATATATATTCTTGATCAGCATCAATAGCCGAGTCAATAGAGCCATGTCTGTCTGTCCGTCTGTCCGTCTGTCTGTCTGTCCGTCTGACCGTCTGTCTGTCTGTCCGTCTTGTTGAGCGCCTAGATCTCAGAGACTATAGGAGCTAGGGCAACCAAATTTGGTTTCCACACTCATGTGATATCACACTGCTACAAGTGTATTTCAAAATTTTGCCCCGCCCCCTTCCGCCCCCACAAAGGACGAAAATCTGTGGCAGGCACATTTTTAAAGATACGATAAAACTCAAAACGCAGTATCGTAGAGAATGCCCATATCTACCAGATTGCCGAATCTAAATCAGATCGGATCATAATTATAGCCAGAATGAAGAAATTAATTTTCAGTTGCTTCCCCTCCCCCTCCTCCCACAAACGACAACGAAACTCATTTTCCTTCTCGCTCGCACACGCTGCCGCGTTCAGTGCGCGAGCAACCCCTAGCGGAGGAGATGTAGAATCTAAATGGTACATGTAGAATATACATGTTAGATGTATAATATAAATAGTATATGTAGATGTAGATAACAGATGTAGCAAAAAAATGTAAAATTTTTTTTTTTTTAAGTTCTAAATAATTGTATGCTTAAAAATGTATATGCTGACTGAGTACGGGTATAAGTAGAGTCGCGTCCCCAGAAGCGACTCACACGTTCCTTCTCGTTATTTTGTTATTATTATGTTTTATTTTCATTATTAGGTTAAGTGACGGCATTTGTTAGTAGTTAAGCTATGGCATTAATCAAAATTAGTTTAAGTACATGCTCGGTCGTGACTTAGATGGGAGGGAAAAGCACAGTGATCGCTCGGGCATCACTGATAGCACTGATAAAAGCTCCAGAGTTGAGACATGAACCTCAACCAACCAACATCAGTACAGAGTGGAGACACGAACCTCAACCAATCAACATCTGTACAGAGAGAGCGGGAGAGCAGAGAGCGAAAGCTCAATCACCAGCACCACAAGGGTGGGTTTATAAGATCGCAAGCACATGGAAAAAAGGAGAGATATTCCAGACCAGCGAGCTGAACGGACGTGCCAGTGGAAGCAGCCAAGAAGACGAAGAGAAAACAGATATTGACGGCGAGCGAGGAAAGGGTGAGCAAGTCTCACCGTCGTGAGGAAGAGGGCGGGCGAGCGGTGCGGTTAGGCAGGATTGAGGAAGAAGAAAGAAAAATAAAAATGGAACTTAAATAACTACCAGCGCGTCTTCATCTGTCGATCGGTGCGTGTTTCCCCCCCTTGCCCTGTAGTTTTTCCAGAGGTGCCGCCCGGCGACTGCCCAGGCATTCTCTGTCGAGCTGTGCGTGTTTTCCCTCCCCTTGCCCTGTAGTTTTTCCAGAGGTGCCGCCCGGCGACTGCCCAGGCATCCTCTGTCGATCTGTGCGTGTTTTCCTCCCCTTACCCTGTAGTTTCCCGGGGGTGCCGCCCGGCGACTGCCCAGGCATCCTCTGGCTATCTATGGCTGTCTCCCTTCCCCCGCAGACCTGTACCTTCCCCGAAGTGCCGCCCGGCGACTGCCCAGGTATCTTTGGGAGGGTCTCTGCGCCTACCCTCCTTCCCCTTATCCTGTAGTTTCCCGGGGGTGCCGCCCGGCGACTGCCCAGGCATCCTCTGGCTATCTATGGCTGTCTCCCTTCCCCCCCGCAGACCTGTACCTTCCCCGAAGTGCCGCCCGGCGACTGCCCAGGTATCTTTGGGAGGGTCTCTGCGCCTACCCTCCTTTCCCTTACCCTGTAGTTTCCCGGGGGTGCCGCCCGGCGACTGCCCAGGCATCCTCTGGCTATCTATGGCTGTCTCCCTTCCCCCGCAGACCTGTACCTTCCCCGAAGTGCCGCCGGCGACTGCCCAGGTATCTTTGGGAGGGTCTCTGCGCCTACCCTCCTTCCCCTTACCCTGTAGTTTCCCGGGGGTGCCGCCCGGCGACTGCCCAGGCATCCTCTGGCTATCTATGGCTGTCTCCCTTCCCCCGCAGACCTGTACCTTCCCCGAAGTGCCGCCCGGCGACTGCCCAGGTATCTTTGGGAGGGTCTCTGCGCCTACTCTCCTTCCCCTTGCCCTGTAGTTTCCCCGAGGTGTCGCCCGGCGACTGCCCAGGCATCCTCTGGCGATCTGTGCGTGTTTTCCTCCCCTTACCCTGTAGTTTCCCGGGGGTGCCGCCCGGCGACTGCCCAGGCATCCTCTGGCTATCTATGGCTGTCTCCCTTCCCCCCGCAGACCTGTACCTTCCCCAAAGTGCCGCCCAGCGACTGCCCAGGTACTTTGGGAGGGCTCTGCGCCTACCCTCCTTCCCCTTATCCTGTAGTTTCCCGGAGTGCCGCCCAGCAACTGCCCAGGCATCCTCTGGCTATCTATGGCTGTCTCCCTTCCCCCCCAGACCTGTACCCTCCCCGAAGTGCCGCCCCGGCGACTGCCCAGGTATCTTTGGGAGGGTCTCTGCGCCTACCCTCCTTTCCCTTACCCCTGTAGTTTCCCGGGGGTGCCGCCCGGCGACTGCCCAGGCATCCTCTGGCTATCTATGGCTGTCTCCCTTCCCCCGCAGACCTGTACCTTCCCCGAAGTGCCGCCCGGCGACTGCCCAGGTATCTTTGGGAGGGTCTCTGCGCCTACCCTCCTTCCCCTTACCCTGTCATTCCCGGGTGCCGCCCAGCGACTGCCCAGGCATCCTCTGGCTATCTATGGCTGTCTCCCTTCCCCCGCAGACCTGTACCTTCCCCCGAAGTGCCGCCCGGCGACTGCCCAGGTATCTTTGGGAGGGTCTCTGCACCTCCCTCCTTCCCCTTATCCTGTAGGGGGTGCCGCCCGGCGACTGCCCAGGCATCCTCTGGCTATCTATGGCTGTCTCCCTTCCCCCCCAGAGACCTGTACCTTCCCCGAAGTGCCGCCCCGCGACTGCCCAGGTATCTTTGGGAGGGCCTCTGCGCCTACCCTCCTTTCCCCTTACATGTCCCGGGGTGCCGCCCCGGCGACTGCCCAGGCATCCTCTGGCTATCTATGGCTGTCTCCCTTCCCCCGCAGACCTGTACCTTCCCCGAAGTGCCGCCCGGCGACTGCCCAGGTATCTTTGGGAGGGTTCTGTCGCCTACCCTCCTTCCCCTTACCCTGTAGTTTCCCGGGGTGCCCCCCCGCGACTGCCCAGGCATCCTCTGGCGATCTATGGCTGTTTCCCTTCCCCCGCAGACCTGTACCTTCCCCGAAGTGCCGCCCGCGACTGCCCAGGTATCTCTGGGAGGGTCTCTGCGCCACCTCTCCTTCCCCCTTGCCCTGTAGCTTCCCTTAGGTGCCGCCCAGCGACTGCCCAGGCACTCTACAGAAGATCTCGACCGTTCTACCCCCCTTTCGCACGTTTCCCTTGGCCTTGGCATCCCCGAGACGAAATCTCCGTCCCATGGCCACTCATGACTCGGAGTCCCGGCAAATTATAAATATGGCTGTAATTTCGACCCTGGCTTGACTGAGAGTTATACCCCAGCCTAGATCGCATCCTTACAGATGGCGCCCGAGCAGGGACTCCGAGACTTCCGAGGTGTTTTGAGTGGCCAAGGGGTGTGTTAGTGAGCTAGAAGGGAAAGAACGGGGGGTTCCAGCCAGTTGAATCAGGTTCTTCCAGTGGCCGCGTGGCAGTCATGCCAGCGTGCCGGACGCGCAGCGGCGGGGTCGGTCGACGTTGATAGGAGTAGAATGATTGTATTGTCGCTGTCGTTGCTAACCGCACGTAAAGTTGCCCAAATTTTCACGTACGGCCGAGCCTGGCTTCCCTAACCTCTCGAAACACAGTCAGCAGCAGAAACACAGTCAGCAGCAGAGGCGCAGTCAGCAGCAGAGGCGCAGTCAGCAGCAGATACACAGTCAGCAGCAGAGACACAGTCAGCGGCAGAAACGCAGCCAGCGGCAGAGACACAGTCAGCGGCAGAAACGCAGCCAGCGGCAGAGACGCAGTCAGCGGCCGGGCTATATATTTCGGACACCGAGCCAGAACCAGTCAGTCAGTAAACAGCCTCAACCGGAGACACAACGCACACGGGACTAAAAGACTATCGATCATGAATACAAGGAGCAGCGATTACAAAGGTCATATGGGTTTGCAGTGGATTTCATATAGGCACAAGGACGAGCTGCAGGCCATAGCCGTAGAGCTTGGCCTTGATGCAAACGGCAGCAAGGACGAGTTACGTAGCCGGATTTTAACATTTATCTCACGGGGAGAATACCCGGAGATGGTCAAACAACGGATAAAGGAACTAGGAACGATGTATAGCAGTGCTCCGAGTACAAGTATGCACAAAACCCCTTCCCCGTCACCTGGACCCAGCAACCGAGCGGAGAAAGAGGGGGCCCAACTGCAGCAGCCCTTATTAATCGACATCCCACCGTTGCTTAAAGAACCCGGACCCAAGGACTTTAACCATCAGGAAGCCACGGCCGAACGGAAACTCAGCGAAGACAACTTCGAGCTACACTCTGCCGAAGGACTCCGAGCTTCGCGGCCCGGTAGGGAAGAAATCTCGTACGCCATACTTGCCGACAAATTACGCAGCTGGGGATTGAAGTTCGACGGACACTCGGACGCGTTAGCGTTCATCGAACGACTAGAAGAGCGTGTGGAGTCCTATGGAGGGAGCCCCGAACAGCTGCCTCGAGCCATCTCCGGACTGCTAACCAACAAAGCGGAAGGATGGTTTAGATCATTCCAGATGCAAGGGAAGCCCTGGAACGAATTCCGGCAGGAGTTCCTCGATTTCTTCTTGCCGCCTAGATATTTTCAGCGTCTAGAAGACACGATCCGAAGCCGGTACCAGCGACCCAATGATTCATTCCAGGATTACCTGATTGACCTCCGACTCATGATGCAACGTGCCCAATATACTCCGGACAGAGAGCTGGACAGAATATACGAGAACCTGAGGCCCGAATATCAACTCTTCACCAGGAGATACGAGTTCGAGACTTTGAGGGAGCTCTCGCAATTGATAGTGGCATATGAGACGACTAGGGACCGCGGACAGACCCACTCGATCAGCAACCTCACGGATACCAAACCAAGAGTGCCCTCGCACCAAGGACGCGGAACATCGGCTCCGCAGCGCACCGCATCCGACGAGACAGGAGCCTCCCGAGGTACCGAGACAGCTAACCGCGTGACGACTCAGGATGGAGCCAGATCGGTGGACGTACGACGAGCCTGCCGGAATTGCGGCGAGGAAGGCCATTTCAGTAACACCTGCAGGAATCGACGCGTGTTATTTTGCTGGGAGTGTGGCCGCCGGGGTATCCGGACAATCGAATGCTGCCGTCAATCCGGGCCGGGAAACGGACTGAGTCTCCGTCCGGCAGGGACCCGAACGGAGACACCCATCCAGGACCCCCAGGAGTAAGGCATCCCCTAAGCTTGGAGGTGGGAAGGATCGCCGCACTAGTAACCATCGCCGGAATACCATTGTCAGCGACCCTTGACACCGGGGCAACCCGCTCTTTCGTCAGCCAGCGGACTGTGAAGGAGCTAAGCAAGGAAGGGAAGGTACGAAACGTAAGGACACGAGTCCGCCTGGCCGACGGGGCAACGAAGGAGGTGACACAAGCAGTGACAGTCAAGGTAGGACTAGATCAACTTGAAACACAGGTGACACTGCTGGTACTACCTATGGTGGTCGATGATGTCATCCTAGGACTCGACTTCCTATGCGGCATCAAGGCCATAATACAATGCGGGCGAGCATACTTACAGTTGACTCGGGAAACCAGACCGTTACAGCCGACAACCCCGCGCACCGTGACCTTCCGTGACGACCCTTCTCCACTCAAACCTTCTATAGCTAATGCTAGTTCCTGTACCAACCCCACAACTACCACTAGGACAATGACTACGACACAATTGGACCATTCTACGCCAAGCAACGCTCAAGCCAGACCCCGCAGCACAGACACAACAGGATTCGACCAAGCCCGACACAAGAATCACGGAACTTCGACGGAGACGACTGCGACACCGCTGGATGCACCCAGGGCCAGTCCGTCTGCCAGCAACGCAATGCCAGACACACACAAGAATCACGGAACTTCGACGGAGACGACTGCGACACCGCTGGATGCACCCAGGGCCAGTCCGTCTGCCAGCAACGCAATGCCAGACACACACAAGAATCACGGAACTTCTGCGGAGACGACTGCGACACCGCTGGATGCACCCAGGGCCAGTCCGTCTACCGACAAATCAACGTCAGACGTAAGCAGGAGCAACGGGACTGCGGGGAAGACAACTACGACACCGCTGGGCACTCCCAGGGCTAGTTCATACACCCACCAGTCCAATTTACACAACGCCAGGAACTTTGAAACTTCAGCGGAGGCGGCTGCGACACCGCTGGACACTACCAGGGCCAGTCGACCTACTCCGAAGACAATGCAAAACGACCACACTGGGACAACGCCGAGGGCCTCGCAAGACGCCAGCATCAGACCAGCCCACGACAGACAGACCCAGAGGGACTACCCTGACCATAACACCCGCATGAACTACCAGCTAGCACCATTGGCCGATGCCGCAATGGGCAAACGGCGGAATCCGTTTCACAAGACAGGCCAGACCACCCATCCCACCGTGAACCTAGCGGCCATTACCACCACACAGTCCGAAGAACCTCCGCTACAGAAGTCCCGGATCCACGAACCACCACCAACTCCGTGCGTAGCAGCGTTCCTGGAGGAAGAGTTGGCCAAATTCGAGGGTCTGGCAGGTATTTCTCACATAGCACAGCATACAATCTATATGAAGGACGACAAACCTGTGAAACAACGGTATTACCCGAAAACCCCGGCCATGCAGAAGATAATAGACGACCAAGTCGACGAATTACTGCGGGAAGGACGTATCGAAGCTTCAAAGAGCCCACACAGCGCGCCTATAGTACTCGTAGGGAAAAAAGACAGGCGAGATGCGCATGTGCGTCGACTACAGACAACTCAACGCCAGATCTATACCGGACGCCTATCCGCTCCCCAGGATCAACCACATCCTCGAGAGACTCCGCGATGCCCACTACATCTCGACATTGGACCTGAAGAATGGGTATTGGCAAATCCCGATGGCGGAGGGAAGTCGGGAATGCACTGCATTTACCGTGCCAGGTAGAGGACTGTTCCATTGGAAAGTCATGCCGTTCGGACTGCACTCAGCACCTGCAACGTTTCAGCGAGCCCTGGACAGCGTTATTGGACCGAAGATGGAACCGTACGCCTTCGCTTACCTCGATGACATCATTGTCATAGGAAAAGCCTTGGATGACCACGTCAATAATCTGCGAGAAGTATTCCGAAGGCTGCGTGAAGCGAATCTGAGACTGAACAAAGACAAATGCAGTTTTTTTCAAAAGAGCATCGTCTACCTAGGACATGTCGTTAGCGAGCAAGGGATCCATACCGACCCGGAGAAGATTGTGGCAGTCCGGAAGCTGACACCCCCTAATACAATCAAGGAGCTGAGACGCTGTTTGGGAATGGCTTCGTGGTACCGAAGATTTGTGCCGAATTTTGCTACAATTGTACAGCCAATGACCAGCCTTCTAAAGAAGGACAAACCATGGATCTGGGGAGAGGAGCAGCAGAGATCATTTGAGGACCTGAAAGGGAAGTTGACACAAGCACCCGTCTTAGCATGCCCCGACTTCACGGAAAAGTTTACACTACAAACTGACGCCAGCTCCTACGGCTTAGGAGCAGTTTTGACACAACAGATCACCGGAGAGGAGAGAGTCATAGCTTATGCCAGCCGCCGCCTGTTGAAAGCGGAAGAAAATTACTCGGCAACAGAAAAGGAGTGCTTAGCGATCGTCTGGGCCATCAGAAAGCATTTCGGGAAAGGATACTCAGCAGGTTCGGCATCCCTAGGAAGTTTGTGTGTGACAACGGGACGCAGTTTACGAGCCGCTCCTTCCGGAAGTTTTGCGAACAAGTAGGAATGGTATTGGAACACACGGCCCCGTATACGCCACAACAAAATCCCACCGAGAGGGCAAACAGGACCATAAAGACGATGATAGCACAATACCTTGATGGCGACCAACGAACATGGGACGACCTACTCCCAGAATTGAGTTTAGCCATAAATAGCAGCACTTCCGACACCACAGGCTTCAGTCCAGCATTCCTCGTGCTAGGACGGGAACCGCGACTACCAGGATCACTTTACGACGAAGTAACTCCAGGAATGGGAGAAGAAGCAGAACCCGCACATGACAAGGCAACGCGACTGCAAGAAATCTTCAAGGTGGTACAGGAGAACACCCAGCGGGCATCTCAAGAACAGAAGAAGACCTACGGCTTGCGGAGACGAGAATGGCGACCTACACTTGGGACGCTGGTACTCCTTCGCCAGCACCACCTGTCCAAAGCATCGGATAGCTTCGCAGCGAAACTAGCACCTAAATACGACGGACCGTACAAGGTCGTCAAATTCTTAGCTTCCAATATAGTGCGGCTACAAACACTCGAGGGACGACAAAGGAAGACTGCAAGCTTGATGGATCTCAAAGAATTCCACGGGACCGGAGACGATGAACCAACTGAGACAACACCGAAGACACCAGCATGATCACCGATCCACAAGGGCCACTTACGGTAGTGCGCTACCGTAACGTCCTCGCCCCGAAAGTCAAATCCACAAGCCGTAAGCTGTCATACGTATATATCCCCTTAAGGGATTAGATTAAGAACCAATGTATTAACCTTCTCACCAGCACCGCTCAAGCAGGATAGGGGGAGGGTACCAATTTCATTCATATAAGACAGGCAGGTAGTAACCGCTAGGGGTTTTCTCCTTAGGCGGACGAACATGAAGCATCGACATAACGAGAGAGCGGGCCGACTCCTAGAAGCACGTGGCGACACAACCGGGCGTTCCAACGGAGGGCAACAAGCAAGGGGCAGGACGGCCAACACGACGCGGGACAACGCTACAACAACCAGTCGTGGCTACACCCCATATGGGCCATCGGGCTATCCGATGCCAGATTGCTTTCGGACGGAGCAAGAAGCCTTCGCCGACTACCAGCGAATCCCCCGGGACCAGCGATTGGCCGCCGTATCAGGATGGCTTAAGCAACAGCCGCCATTGGTCCATAACGCAGAGGCAGAGAAAGGAGAGGAAGGTCCCCACTACTCGGATATATCCGAGTGTAGCGAGCAGGAAGCAGAGGCAGAAGAAGAGAGAGAGCCCGACGGCCGCTTCGCGACTAATGGCGTCCGACTACCCCCCAATCACAACGTCGCCGCCTTGAACCGTCGTTTGTTCGGGGCCTATGGTCCCGCTGTCGACGACGAAAACGTGACCACGGACACCGATGATCAGGACACGATCCTACGTAGCCAAGGCAGTCCGGTTTCCACCCTGATGGGCGCGATCGACTCTGGCTACCAAGGAAGCACCGTTGCCCCAAGTGACAGTACCGTCACCTCGCCCCTGCCAGTCGATTGGGAATTCCCTCTTTGGGCAGAATGGGACCTGGTGAACCCCAGGCAGGCCGAATTCGGTGGAGAGAGAGCAGTCACAGAGCCCCAGGAAGAAGGCTCCCGCTACGCGGCCACAGCCGGACACAGCGACCCGGGAAAAGAAGCGGAGCTTCGTTACGACGCACCATCGCCGGAGTCTGACGTAGTGTCACTGATGAGCCTGAGCTTCGCACCCCAAGGTGACGCTCCTTTGCTACCGCCAACCAGTGACACTCCCCCACCCGTAGCCCAAGAAGAGCTATTACCACCACTTTTCGGAGAAGAGCCGGCAGAATCGGACTGCAGCCTTCCACTGTCGTTCGAGGAACATGCCGACTTACTGCAGCTAGTTCGACTCCACCCGGGAGTAGCGGTGGTACAGGACGAGGCAGGCTGGGCAGAAGCACCAGTGGAGTGGCGGATCAACACGCCGGACCGCCAGTTGCCCTTAGACCTGATCAGCAACATCACGGTCTATCTGCGCAAGGCCACGGCCCGGTCAGGGGTAAGGCGACTGGAGGTACACGACGGACACTGCTTCCGCATCAAAATAACGCGCCGCCACGCTGTCACCGTTACTATTCGGACCCCCCGAAGTGAGGAGGGCGTGTGAAGGAGCAGACGCTCCCCCACATTATTTTTTTCACCATGAAGGATCTCTTATTATTAGTTATTATTATTTTGTTATTATTATGTTTTATTTTCATTATTAGGTTAAGTGACGGCATTTGTTAGTAGTTAAGCTATGGCATTAATCAAAATTAGTTTAAGTACATGCTCGGTCGTGACTTAGATGGGAGGGAAAAGCACAGTGATCGCTCGGGCATCACTGATAGCACTGATAAAAGCTCCAGAGTTGAGACATGAACCTCAACCAACCAACATCAGTACAGAGTGGAGACACGAACCTCAACCAATCAACATCTGTACAGAGAGAGCGGGAGAGCAGAGAGCGAAAGCTCAATCACCAGCACCACAAGGGTGGGTTTATAAGATCGCAAGCACATGGAAAAAAGGAGAGATATTCCAGACCAGCGAGCTGAACGGACGTGCCAGTGGAAGCAGCCAAGAAGACGAAGAAGAAAACAGATATTGACGGCGAGCGAGGAAAGGGTGAGCAAGTCTCACCGTCGTGAGGAAGAGGGCGGGCGAGCGGTGCGGTTAGGCAGGATTGAGGAAGAAGAGATAAAATAAAAATGGAACTTAAATAACTACCAGCGCGTCTTCATCTGTCGATCGGTGCGTGTTTCCCCCCCTTGCCCTGTAGTTTTTCCAGAGGTGCCGCCCGGCGACTGCCCAGGCATTCTCTGTCGAGCTGTGCGTGTTTTCCCTCCCCTTGCCCTGTAGTTTTTCCAGAGGTGCCGCCCGGCGACTGCCCAGGCATCCTCTGTCGATCTGTGCGTGTTTTCCTCCCCTTACCCTGTAGTTTCCCGGGGGTGCCGCCCGGCGACTGCCCAGGCATCCTCTGGCTATCTATGGCTGTCTCCCTTCCCCCCGCAGACCTGTACCCTCCCCGAAGTGCCGCCCGCGACTGCCCAGGTATCTTTGGGAGGGCCTCTGCCCTACCCTCCTTCCCCTTATCCTGTAGTTTCCCGGGGGTGCCGCCCGGCGACTGCCCAGGCATCCTCTGGCTATCTATGGCTGTCTCCCTTCCCCCCACAGACCTGTACCCTCCCCGAAGTGCCGCCCAGCGACTGCCCAGGTATCTTCGGAGGGGTCTGTGCCCTACCCTCCTTCCCCTTACCCTGTAGTTTCCCGGGGGTGCCGCCCGGCGACTGCCCAGGCATCCTCTGGCTATCTATGGCTGTCCCCCTTCCCCCCGCAGACCTGTACCCTCCCCGAAGTGCCGCCCGGCGACTGCCCAGGTATCTTTGGGAGGGTCTCTGCGCCTACCCTCCTTCCCCTTACCCTGTAGTTTCCCGGGGGTGCCGCCCGGCGACTGCCCAGGCATCCTCTGGCTATCTATGGCTGTCTCCCTTCCCCCGCAGACCTGTACCTTCCCCGAAGTGCCGCCCGGCGACTGCCCAGGTATCTTTGGGAGGGTCTCTGCGCCTACTCTCCTTCCCCTTGCCCTGTAGTTTCCCCGAGGTGTCGCCCGGCGACTGCCCAGGCATCCTCTGGCGATCTATGGCTGTTTCCCTTCCCCCGCAGACCTGTACCTTCCCCGAAGTGCCGCCCGGCGACTGCCCAGGTATCTCTGGGAGGGTCTCTGCGCCTACTCTCCTTCCCCTTGCCCTGTAGCTTCCCTTAGGTGCCGCCCGGCGACTGCCCAGGCACTCTACAGAAGATCTCGACCGTTCTACCCCCCTTTCGCACGTTTCCCTTGGCCTTGGCATCCCCGAGACGAAATCTCCGTCCCATGGCCACTCATGACTCGGAGTCCCGGCAAATTATAAATATGGCTGTAATTTCGACCCTGGCTTGACTGAGAGTTATACCCCAGCCTAGATCGCATCCTTACATTAGTTTCAGATAACTTTAAGCCGCATCTTAGTAGCGTCCATACCACCGGTGCGATGGTAAGCTGTTCTGGGATCAATACTAGCTTCAACATAGCTTTATTGCCGGACACTTTATGCCAGAGCATCGAAATCCCGATGAATTTACCAAGCGGTGAAGTGTTGCTGGATTCAGGGTTTTTCGTGGATTAAAGCTACGACCTGCCGCGAAACAGAAACTGAATTGATGAATACATTTCCCAGTGTACTTTGGAAATTAACGGGTGCGTTAGGTAGCTTTGGTTCAGTGTCGCCGGATTCAGCTAAAAGGAGTATGTTGAGCTATTGAGATTTTTCAATAGCGTAGAGTTAAATCGACAATTTGTACTTTGATTAATTCACAACACAGTTTGTTTGATTATGTTAGTTTCTTTATTTTCCATGCAAGGCGAGTGGGAGTAGAATGGGCAAGAGTTAGCAACAGGCGGACCCGTGGTGGACCGTGTTGCAGCGAAAACAATAATGGGTTTTTGTATAAAGGTTAATAACAATGTAGCAGGTCACTGTGCCAACCGACGATATGTTGTACGTTTTATGATGCTAGATTTCGAAGTGTCTCTGCTGCGCAGACGAGCCTCCCTCACAGCCTTCGTCGGCTGACGATTTTCGGGAAGGGGAAAAATGACTCAAGAGCGCAGAGTCAGGTAGGCAATGTTGTGAGCTTAGCTCTGCTCTCTTTGCGCTGCCATGGGCCGGCGCTTAGCCGAACATTCTCCCCCGTTGAAGAGCACGGGTCTTCGACATCATTCTTTGGCAGCATACACAGCTTTGCGATAGCCCTCGTGGTGCTCCCAGTAGCCGTTTTGAGCTCAGCTACCCTGGAAACGCCATCTCTGCCGGCGATCAGTTTCGTCACCCTTCCCAGCGGCCACTTAAGTGGAGGCAAGTTCTCGTTCTTTACGAGGACCACGTCGCCGACGCTGAGGTTAGGCTGCTCAGTCCTCCATTTTGCCCTCTCCTGCAGAAGCGTGAGGTACTCCTCTCGCCAGCGGGACCAGAAAGTCTGCTGCAGGAAGCTGACCTGCTGCCAGCGATCAAGACGATTGAAGTTGAGTCCGGTCACATCTGGTTCCGCGAAGGTACGGATTGGAGCAGTACCTAAGAAATGCGCAGGTGTTAGCATGTCTAAATCGTCAGGATGCTCTGAAATGGGAAGCAATGGCCTTGAGTTTATTATGGCAGTGATATGGCACACAAGCGTTCTCAGGTCATCAAAGCACAGCAAGGAGCTGGAAGCGGAACGGTAGAAATGATGCTTGGCTGTTTTAACCGCAGCCTCCCAGAGTCCGCCAAAGTGGGGAGAGCGAGGGGAATAAACCGCCAGTCAATATGATCCGCAACGCAAAACTCCTGAACTTCCTTCATATGCCTTTCTGCCAGGAACAGCTTCTTCAACTCTGCCAACTCGTTCTTTGCTCCCACAAAGTTGGTTGCGTTATCGGACCAAATTTCCCTGGGCCGACCGCGAGTTAAAATGAATCGCTTTAGTGCGCTTATGAACGCTGGCGTCGATAGATCCTGCACAAGCTCCAAGTGAACGGCCTTGGTGGCAAAGCATATGAAGAGGCATATGTAGCATTTGATGGGTGGTCTGGTCCGCACCTCA